TCTCCCCCACTTTGCCTATGGGGGTGTGTCAGAACATTATAGCTTATGCATTTGTGTAGGCTGTACTGGGGTAGCCCATAAGGGGTACAACCCAATTAGGGTTAGTACTTGTACCCAACTGTTTCATAGTTCATTCATTCTCGTTCTAGTTTTCTCACATCGACGCCGGCCACCAGGCGTGGCACTTCATTGAGTCGACGTACCAGGTCACCGACGACCTGTTCATCGCCCAGCTGGAGGGACAGCTGACGCACCTGCGTATGGGTGACGAGGAGACGGCGACTGACTACTGCAACCGAGCCCGGCGAATTCTCGGCAAGGAAAGAGGCGGGCAAGCATAGGTACAGCCAAAGCTACGACTTCTCTTTTTTTATGAAGAATGGAGACTGGCTTTAGAGCCCTGAGACTGCTGGTCGGGCGGTGGTTGGTGCTGCTACCAAGGGTGTAACAGCAGCGGCAGAAGCGGCAAAGCTTCAGATTACTGGAGCAGCGGCGGTTACCAGTGCTGCTGTCGTTGCCAGCCTGAATGCTATAGCAGGCACTGTTAAAGGGTATGTAGCAGGCACTGTAGCAGCAACCAGCCGCAGAAGCATGAGCACAATTCCTTTGGGTGTTTCCCGAAAGATTCTTTCTGGTGTTACATTCATGGAAGAGGGGAGGGGAGGAAGAGGGGAGGGGAGGAAGAGGAGCAGGAGGAGGCGCAGCGGACATACCTCCCTTCTGTCTCATCACTCAGCCAATCCCCTCCTCTTCTTCCCCCTCAGTCCTTCACTTTCTCGCCAAGCCCTAGCTCGAGTGCCCTGTATGACCATACAGCCGCCTCCTCACCTCCAGGCGTTGTGAGGGGAGCCACTATGGAACGGCGTGTTCAAGCCTGTTGGTGTGACAGGAAGAGGCGGAGGAGGAGGAGGAGGAGGAGGAGGAGGAGGAGGAGGAGGAGGAGGAGGAGGAGGAGGAGGAGGAGGAGGAGGAGGAGGAGGAGGAGTGAGCAAGCATAGGCACAGCCAAAGCTACGATTTTCTCGTCTATGATGCTTTCCAAGGAGTGCCTTCACAGCCCCGAGTCTGCTGGTCGTATGTTGGTTTCAGCTCTTCCACCTCGATCCCCCCGTCTCACTCCCCCACCTCAATCCCCCCGTCTCACTCCCCCACCTCAATCCCCCCGTCTCACTCCCCCACCTCAATCCCCCCATCTCACTCCCCCACCTCAATCCCCCCGTCTCACTCCCCCACCTCAATCCCCCCGTCTCACTCCCCCACCTCAATCCTCCCGTCTCACTCCCCCACCTCAATCCCCCCGTCTCACTCCCCCACCTCATCCCCCCGCGTCTCACTCCCCCACCTCAATCCCCCCGTCTCACTCCCCCACCTCAATCCCCCCGTCTCACTCCCCCCACCTCAATCCCCCGTCTCACGTCGTCATCTCGATCCCCTCTTCTTAGTCCCTCGTCAGCCCCTCCGATCAGTCCCCCATCTCGGTCCCCTCCTCTCACTTCCTCATCTCAACCCCGCTGTCTCACTTCCGCATCTCACCCCACTCCTCTCACTATCCCACCGCGATCCCCTCGTATCTCCCCCGCTCCTTGATCCGCTCCTCCCCTTCCTCCTCAGTCCTTCACTTTCTCGCCAACTCCCAACTCGAACGCCCTGTACAAGCATGGGCCTGCCTCCTCCCCTCCAGGGATTGTGAGGGGAGTCACTAGGAACGGTGTGTATAAGTCTTCTGTTTTGACTGGAGGCGGAGTTGGAGGAGCAGGAGCAGAAGCAGGATCAGAAGGAGGAGGAGGAGGCGGAGGAGGAGTGAAAGGCAGTGTTGCAAGGAAGCAGGCGGGCAGGCATATGTACAGCCAAAGCTACGACTTCTCTTCAATTGCAAAGAACAACGACTGGCTTCACAGCCCGAAGCCTCCTGGTCGGGTGGTTGGTGAAGCCATGGCGGTTACTGATGGTGCTCTCACTCCTCCCCACGCACACACCACCTCCGTATCCCTCTCTGCTCGCCACTCCTCCATCAGACCAATCGTCACCTCCATGGCCTCTCAAAGAATTCGCAAGCACGTGTCTTGGGACCCTGACTTAAAGCCCTTCTCAGCCACTGCCACCACCATTGTTGGGACCCGTGTCCGCTGAGACCTTTGCTGGCGTTGGTGCTGCTGCAGGTGGCATAGGCAAGCTGGCAGGAAGCATCACTGATAAGATCGCTGCTGAACCTGCTGAGGCTAGTCAGGGAGTGAGGGTCCCAGATGCTGCTGGTGTTGCTGCTGCAGCTACTGCTGCTGGTGACGGTACTGCTGCAACTGCTGCTGGTGGTCCTGCTGGTGCTGCTGTAACTGCTGCTGAACCTGCTGAGGCTAGTCAGGGAGCGAAGGTCCCAGCTGCTGCTGGTGTTGTTGCTGCTGCTGCTGTTGCTGGTGATGGTGCCGCTGCAACTGCTGCTGGTGCTGCTGCAATTCCTGCTGGTGCTGTTGCAACTGCTGCTGGTGCTGCTATAACTGCTGCTGGTGCTGCTGTAACTGCTGCTGGTGCTGCTGCAACTGCTGCTTGTGCTGCTGTAACTGCTACTGCTGGTCCTGTTGGTGCTGCTGTAACTGCTGCTGGTGCTGTTGCAACTGCTGCAGCATTCTCATTCTCTCCTCGTGCTTCCCCACTCACTGCGCAAACCACCACAATGAGGCCTCCATCCAGTCCTTCTTGGAAACTTCCGCCTCATTCTAAGCTTCCTGTGAAGAGCCCGAGTTCTGACCTGAGTTCGGGCCAGCGGCACAGGCGACACCAGTCGTTATCGGAGCTTGGTGGCTGTGAAACGACTGTTGAGGCGCCGCAAAGACTGCTTCCTGTGAAGAGCCCGAGCTCTGACCTGAGTTCTGCCCAGAGGCGCAGGTGGAATGTGTCGCTCTTGTAGCTCGGGGGCTCTGCAGCAGCTTTTGAGGCGCCTCCTCCTTCTAAGCTTCCTGTGAAGAGCCCGAGCTCGGGCCTGAGGCACAGGCGGAATGTGTCGTTATCGGAGCTCGGGGATTTGGCAACGGCCGAAATTTCGAGACGGTCGGAAACTCCTGCATGTGGGGCAGCAAGTGGGAACTCAGGTGGGGAAACAGGTGGAGAAGTGCAGGGGAGAAGGGAAGGAAGGAAGGCCCGATCCCCGTTTGTGGTGGTGCCTAGCCGTAGCTTGCACAAGCGGAACCTAAGCTATCGCTCACCATTTGGATCTCCTACTCTCTCCCCAGCGTAGACTCTCCCCCAACACTTCAGTCAGCATGAACAGATATGACATGGCATGAATAAAAGCATTTGTGGAAGGGAGAATTTCAAGTTTTGTTCTAGTATGATATCCTCAGAAACAAATACGGCATTTCACTTCTTTATGCTGAAGCTGAGAAACATGGGTAGGTAGGCTCGTGTGTGCCAGTTGATTAGATTCTGCAAAGTCAACGTTCTCTAAATATACTATGTGGTGTGGTGTAGTGTGCAGTTTCATTATCTTAGCTTGCCTATACATTTGAAATTGGCAGCTTCAAATCCTTGGGGGAATTGGGTGACCAAATCACACGCCCACTCCATTCTGTGACTGCTCACGATCGACCATCCGTGAGCCCATATTTGTGACCACACTTTCGAGCAGCCCAGATATTTTAGTGCTTGGCATGGATGGAGCCGAAACCTATCCAAGAAGGCACCAATCGCGCGGCCCTCCCAAGAGCTAAACAAAACAATTTTTATGGTGGTGCTGGTGCAAACAAAACAATTTTTATCCCCCCAATGAATGGAGAGCCTGCTTGGTCTGGAACCACTTTGGCTGCTTCAGGTTCGGAAATCCGTGTGATTCCAGCCATACATTAGCTTCCGAGCTTGTTGCGTCAACCACGATGCGCAGTGTGGTTGAATCTAGGGCCAGCAGCTGGTTCGGTAACCGCTTCGCTGCTCGGTTTGTCGTTGCTTGCGATTGCAAACGCAAACTGTGCACACTGCTTCCCTTCCTCCCGTCCCGTCGGTCACCCGTGTGTAAAATGAAAACCAAAAGGCTGCCCCAAATCAACCTCCCCCCTCTTGCACCCAAACCTCCACGCGCTCATGCAGCTGGTTCCGATCCGAAAGTTCGCTCAAATTTCTAACCGTACGAATGTTCAGGCTAATAGTAGCGCTTCACACCATGAAGCGAGTAGACCGCTTCACATTGCACAAATCGTACTCAACCGTATTTACTAGATCGAAACCGTATCAAAACTCTCCTCGCAAATGCTGTTGAGCACACGCATCCATCAACCAGGTCTCAGTCGGCTTGACTTGAACGCGACATCCTTGGCAGCCATGACTATTTTTGGCTGCTAGATCTGCCGCAGCGAGTGTGTGATGCATCATCCACAGAGAAAACTCGCATTCACTCGCATCATCCGCACGAGTGTGTGATTCATAATCTTTAGGACCAGACCTCGACAAACTCACCTAAACTGTAGCTTCCGTACTTACAGGCATTGGCTGCCTGTAATTACAGTCGCTACAAGTCAGGAAGCCGACTGTAACGGAGAGGTTCCATTAGCTGATTTTCCACATGGCTCCTCCTCGGGCCTCCACGAGCGTGCGTTACTTTGCGGGACCAACGGCGGACGGGAGAGAGATAACGATAAGATTCGACGTCGGATTGGACAGCCGACGTCGTCGGTTCTCCGACTGCATGCAAATCTTGGACGGGGGGCAGTTAATGCTCGCGGCGTTTTGCCGCCGACTCGGCGGGATCAATCCGGTCAACCAATCCGACACTGTTATTATATCTCGTTCTCAGAGGCCTCTGAGAATGAGAGGCGGAGCTCGAGGCCTCGTTATTCATCGTAATCTCGCACACCTGCACCAAATGCCTTGCTACTTCCGCCTCTTCATCCTCGCATCACACGAATAGTTCACTTGGCTGCTGCCCACTGCTGCCTCCCTGCTGCCTCCTTGCTGCTTCTGCTGCCTCTGCTGCTTCACTTCATAACCATTGGTACCATTGGTATCTACAACGTAATCATGGCGCCGCTGCGGACCGTCGGATCGTCGTCCACGAGCATTCTCCCGCTAATCAACGCCAGCCACGTGTCCTCCATCTGGCACGACATCCTCCTCATTCCCCCCCCGCCTCCCGCCAACGACTTCTCCTCCCCCTCCCCGCGCCACCCGGGTCCCCCCTTCCCCGCCTGCACCTTCTCCTTCGTCTGTCGCTCCGCCAAGTCTTCGTCCGCCGATTGCGGGCCCGGGAGCCGAAAGCTTCGTCGCCGCGACGACCCCCTTTTCCTGCGGGAGAAGCGGAAGGTCGTGTTGGGCCTAGACGGCAGTCGTATCAAAGTGCAGACCGATTGCGACTCGGAGACGTCGTCGCCATCGTCGCCGTCGCCGTCGCAATGGTCGTCGAAGTCGTCGTCGTCGTCGGCGCTCCTAATCGCGTCGCCGTGGAATCCGGGCATCCTGCCGCAGACGTGCGTGCTCGCGTCGCGATCCATGTCGATGTTCTCCCGGGGGGATGCGAATGATGGGGATTCTGATCATGAACGCACAGATTTTCTCTTAACGGCGTGCGACAACGTACCGCTTGAAGCGCTCGAGATTGGGTCGCAAGCGCGCGAACCTGGCGACGTGTACGACGTTTTTCCTCTTCTGGCGATGCCCCTGCGACTGCTGGGGGCGGAGCGTAACAGCATGCCGATTTCGTGGAGGATTGTCACCATCGCAGCGGACGACGAGCTGGTGACTAGTGGGCAGCTGAAACATTCCCTCAGCGATTTACTGGATCGTGTTCGCGAGTGTGCGAACAAAACGGAATTCTTTTGCGAAATCGTTGCACCAGGTAATGCGCCAATCTGGTTTATTCGACCATCTTGTCTCCTTGCTCTCCTTCCTATTCCCCTGAGACTACCCTCCCTCTCTCTCACTCACCTCCCTCTCTCTCACCTCCCTCTCTCTCACCTCCCTCTCTCTCACCTCCCTCTCTCTCACCTCCCTCTCTCTCACCTCCCTCTCTCTCACCTCCCTCTCTCTCACCTCCCTCTCTCACCTCCCTCTCTCTCACCTCCCTCTCTCTCACCTCCCTCTCTCTCACCTCCCTCTCTCTCACCTCCCCCTCTCTCACCTCCCTCTCTCTCACCTCCCTCTCTCTCATCTCCCTCTCTCTCACCTCCCCCTCTCTCACCTCCCCAGCCCTTTAAATATTTCTTCGCTCCTTCATTCCGTCCGTTGCTTCGTTGTCTCGCTCCAAAGTCGCTCCCAGCTCCTCCCAGCCAATCTCCCGCTCCTCTCTCCCCCCTCTCCTCGCCCTTCCCCCTTCCACTCCCCTCCCCGCAATCCCCCTCCCCCCAGGTCGCTCCCCCAATCCCTGCTTCGGCGCCTCCCCCTCTCTTTCTCTTCCACAAGCAGCAGAAGAAGAGGCGCGGGAAAGACCCGCCCGACTCCAAGGCTTGCGAACGAAGAGCCTGGAGAGGGGAGCGTGGGGCGGAGGAAGCGGAGGAAGCGGAGGAAGCGGAGGAAGCGGAGGAAGCGGAGGAAGCGGAGGAGGAAGAGCCCTGATCCGAACCTCACGAATCGGCGGTCGAGATTCGTTGATCGGACGCGTGACGTTAGGAGAGGAGGAACCCGAACCCGAGGAGGAATGGGGGAAGTCTGGAAGAAAAGCAGACGAAGCGGCGGAGGATCAAGCGGAACAAGCAGCCAGGCAAGCCAGGGAAGCAGAGGAGGCGGAGAAAGCAGCGGTGCAAGCGAAGGAAGCGGAGCAAACGGTGCTGTATGCGCACAGCACGTGGCGAATCCTCTGCCCCACTCTGTGCCGCCCCGTTCTCAAGCGCCTGGGCAGCTCGCACCTACCCAAGAAACACCATGGCAGCTCGTACCTACCCGAGAAACACCATGGCAGCTCGTACGTACCCGAGAAACACCATGGCAGCTCGTACCTACCCGAGAAACACCATGGCAGCTCGTACGTACCCGAGAAACAGCCGCAGCAGCAGGAGCGGCAGAATAGGCTTGTCCGCAGCCCCCCTGTACCTGCATGCCGTTCTGCCTATGCTCTGCCGGATTCCTCATATTCAGCCTCGTCTGAAACAGATTCGTTATCGTCCAAGGCTGCGTGCTCCAGCCGGGCGGTGTATCGAATCCCCCAAAGCATATCAGATACGGATCTCAGCGTCACGGGCGTGTGGAGGCTGATTGCCCCACCCGAGTGCTATGGGCTTCCGGGGCTGGTCTCTCCTCGTGGGCTGGGAGGGAATGGAGGAGGAAGCAGTGGAGGAGAAGGAGGAGGGGAAGGAGGAGGAGGGGAAAAAGGAGAAGGAGAGGGAGGCGGTGCTGAAAGGAGAGAGGCGAGCAAACACAGGCATGACTTTGCTTCAATGATGAAGAACAAAGACTGGATTCACAGCCGCGACTTCAAAGACTGGCTGCACAGCCACGAATTTTCTTCTATGATAAAGCACAGAGACGAGCAGCGCAGTCACGAATTTAAAGACGGGCATCACAACTCTGAGACTGCCGGTTGGCTTGCGATTTCTGCTGCTAAGGTTGCCGCAGCAGCGGCAGCATCAGCGGCAGCAGCAGCAGCGGAAGTTGTCAAGTCGCAAGTTGTGACAGGAGTTGCGGCTACAGCTGCTGCTGTTGCTGCAAAGCGACATGCTGTGGCGGAAACTGTAGCAGGAACTGTAGCAGGAACTGTAGCAAGAAGTGTAGCACGGCCTTTTACTCCCCCAGCCCATTCCTCTCTTCCCAATCCTGGTCACCCTCCTTCTGGGTTGACCTTCAAGTCACACCTCCCTCCTCTATCCCTTCCTCTCTCTTCCTCATCTGGATCCCCTCCTCTCACTCCCTCATCTCAACCCCCTCCTCTCACTCCCTCATCCCAACCCTCTTCTCTCACTCCCTCAGACTCCTTGACCCCGTCTGCTTGCCGCTCCAGCCTGAAATCAGCTGCTACCTCCGCTGCTTCTCCAAGAACCGGCTCCCCTCCTCTCACTCCCTCTCACCCCACCGCATCCCCATCCCCCGCTGCTCGCCGCTCTAGCTTGAAACTAGCTGGCTGTACTTCCACGGCCGCTTCTCCAAAACTAGTCCCCCCCGCTGCTCGCCAGTCCATCTTAAAATCACCTGCTGGCACCTCCACTTCTTCTTTTCCCGAATTCGGCTCCCCTTCTCTTCACCGCTCCAGTCTGAAATCACCTGCTGGCACCTCCACCGCTTCTTCTCCAAGGCTCGGCTCCCACTCTCCTCGCCCCTCCTTTTTGAAATCAGCCAGCACTAGCGGGGTTTCTCCACGGCCCAGCTCCCCTCCTCACACTTCCTCTCACTCCTTCACCGCCTCCCTATCCACATCCGCTCGTCGCCCCTCCATCCTGAAATCAGCCAGCACCACCGCCTCCTTTTCTCCTAAAATCGGCTCCACCGTGGAATCACCTGCGCGCCCCTCCATCTTGAAATCAGCCAGTACTAGCGGGGTTTCTCCACGACTCGGTAAGCGGGTGACCTGGAAGCTTCACCCGGATAGTTTACCCGCTGCTGCCAGTGCAACATCTGGAGGGGGGCCTAAATCACCTCCGGGAGGAGGCGTTTACCAGCCCATTTCGCGAAGGGCATCGTGGCATGCAGGCACTTTTCTTGACGTGCTTCCTGGTGATAACTGTGCTGCTCACATCCCTGCTGCTGTTGACACAAGTGCTGCTGCGGATGCAGGTGCATTAGGCAGGCCGGCGAGAAATGTCTTTGATAAAATCACTGGTGAAGCTGCGGAGGCTAGACAGGGAATAACAACCGCAGCTGGTGCTGCTGTTGCTGCTGCTGCTGATCGTGCTTCTTCTGCTCCTCCTGCTGCAACGGCTGCTGGTGCTGCTGTAGCTGCTGCTGCACTTTCACTGGCTTCCCGTGCTTCTCCTCTCACTGCTCGAACCATCAGAACGAATCATCCTTCCAGGCCTTCTCAAAATCTTTCTTCATCCAATCACCCTGTGAAGATCTCGAGTCACAACCACGTTCGAAGCCGTTTTGCAACAGCTGAACTTCAGAGCGAGTCGAAAGTTCCACCGAGTGGTGAAGGCCAAAGAGGAGGAGGAGGGAGAAAGGCACGCCCTGCATTTGTGGTGGTGCCTAGCCGCAGCTTGCACACGCGGAGCTTAATCCAGGTTTAATCCAAACTGCATGATCAGGGCAGGGCTCTGGGAGGGAGAAAGGCACGCCCTGCATTTGCGGTGGTGCCGTGCAGCAGTCTGCACACGCGGCCTTTAATCCAAACTGCATGATCAGGGTCCTCCCTGTCTGAATTTTCGCTTCTTACTGATTGTGGCTTTCATTGTACCATATCACCTTTTGGTCGTTGCTGGCCCGAGCCACCCTACCAATATTCTGTTCATGTTTTTATAGACTGCCTGCCTTGTAGATTTTTTTGCATGTTTGCATGGAGAATCATATCAGTTCAGCAACTTGGCACTGGCACACCCCTCTCTGGAGGCTAAGGCTCGTAACACTGCTGCTGCTGTCCATTGTTTTGCTGCTCTTTTTGAGGGCATTGATCTACCTTCAACCCGACCACCGTCGATCCGTCAGCTGCTTTCACCATACAGTCCATGCAATACCTGTAAACAACAATCCTGAAAATCAAAGAAAACAAATATTAGCAATGGGTTGGTAGGAACAGCTTATTAAATTTGATGAGATAAGAAGCTACGTACCTAGGAGTGCCAGTGTACCAACCACCATGATGAGAGCTGTCACGACTAGCAGGTCTTGCATCCCCACCACTACCACCACAAGCAGCACCGGTAGAGCCGCCAACACTTGAATCACCACCGTTGATTACACCGCCATCAGTGAATCCACCATCGATTGACACATACCCAGCAACTGCAGCAGGAGCAGGAGCAGGAGCAGGAGCAGGAGCAGGAGCAGGAGCAGGAGCAGGAGCAGCAGAGGCGCACCCAATAGTGGTCCCACCTTGGGCAGATCCACTCCATACTACAACAGTGTTACTCCTTGAAGTCGGAGGTAGCTTTTGAGGCACCTCAGAAGCCGCAGCAGGCGCAGCAGAGGAGCACCCAACAGTAGTCCCACCTTGGTCGGATCTGATCCAAACTAACTTGCTTCTTGAAGACTTTTGAGACGTCCCAAAGGCCCCACCTTCGGCGAATTCATTCCAAACCACAACTGCCTTATCCTTTAGAATTGGAAATACTCTCTCACTGTACATTACCGTCCATCGCCGCGCTTTGCACGAGCCATGCAGGGTAGTTATAGCCGCCGGACCTGGCTCACAGCCTCGGAACCCACCCAGGGCGTCTGGGACGGCCGAACCTATTATAGACTCCCCTTACACTGCTACACTTTCTCCTCCACCTGCCTCCTTCCCCACTTCACCCTCCTTTCCACCCTCCTCTACCCCCGCCCCGGCCTTCTTTTCCTGCATCTCCCATGCGGCCCTGCACGCGCATTCCCTCCCCTTCCTGGTACAGCTGCCGAAAGCCCTGCACAGTCTGGGAGGCAGCAAGGAGGAGGGAGCGGGGAGAAATTAAGCAAGGAGACACGGGAAGCACGCACATTCCCTCCCCCTCCTGGTACAGCTGTCGAAATCCCTGCACAGTCTGAGGGGAGGAGGGGAGAAGAGGCGAGGAACCAGGAAGACTTACCTCGTGACGTGTACACCACTACAATCACATATGTTAGTCAGTCACATATATTTGGTAAAGTCACATATGTTCAATACAGTCACATAGTTTGTTACAGTCACATAAGTTCATTACAATCACATATGTTCGTTACATTCACATATGTTCATTAACCTCACCTTGGCCCTCCTTAGCATGCCAGAAGGTGCCTCCACCATTGCTACCCCGTCATCCACCCCCACCCCTCTCCCAGCACCAACCACCTCACATTCTCACACTCACATCTGTGCATCACATCGTAGTCACCTTGGCTCTTCTTAGCACGCCTGCTGCAACATCATCCGCCCCCCAACCCTCTCCCAGCACCACTGCCCTCCCCCCACTCATGTTCTCGCACTTATATCTGTGCATCACACTCACCTTGGCTCTTCTCAGCATGCCCGCAGCTACCTTCACCGTTGCTACAACACTATCCACCCCCCACCTCTCCCCCGTCACCAACCTGAGTGAAAGATCCACAGGCACTTACGTCGACGCAGTTCCCCCACCTGAGGCAAACGTAATCGACGGCATGTGGATTTTTAAGGTGAAGCAGCCGCCTGGATCGCCACATGTCTTC